AGAGAGAGAGAGAGAGAGAGAGAGAGAGAGAGAGAGAGAGAGAGAGAGGTTACAGGCAGAGGTTACATCGGGCCATGAGGCCCAGGATCTGATTCACCATTTTTGTCGCAGACATTGATTGGACATTCGGCAGGGAGACTATTTTTGGACTTCGCTATCGCGATCTTGGTCTTCTCCCTCATCTCCATCTTCGTCTCGCTTCCCCCCCCCATTTCCTCATCCGTGATATCTCCCCATGTGCGTGATCAAGGAGGGACCTTTCTTCTATGTATGCGGTCCCTCCTCTCTCTCTCACATGTTTGGTGTATGATGGGGTGCCGCGTCAGTATCTGACAGGTCAGGTCATATCTGTGAGTCTTCCGCTGCACTACATTGTGCTATTTTCATATGTATCTGGCTGTACATTGCTTGTTGATGCTTTGCTGATGCTACATTGTCTTTTTCACCACTTTGCGGATCCTTGGCTCCACATACATCACTTGACTGAGCATGTAGCACTCTACCTCATTTGCGGTATGCAAGTTTGGGCGACATGCTGCTTGAGCGAGCGCCAGCATTCTGCGGCTGGGAGCTTCCTCCTCGGCTATGGTGGAGCTCTACCGGTAGGAGGAGGAGGAAGAAGGGGACTAGGGAGGAGAGTGGCGAGGTACCTACCTGGTTATGGTGGACACCATCTTCATCACCTTGTTAGGCGCTGCATCTGGAAGGCCCCAGACTGAGTGGGGGTTGCGCCGCACCAAGAAGGCTTCGAGGCAGAGTCAGGCCTGGTGGCCTGAGCAGCAGCGGACATAGCTGCTTTGCGTTGTCTTTTGCACAGCAGGGCTAGGCCCTTAGTAGTCCGCCATAACCTCGGCCTGACTGAAGAGGAGGAATAAGGTCTTCTTCTTCTTCTTCTTCTTCTTCTTCTTCTTCTTCTTCTTCTTCTTCTCCTCCTCCTCCTCCTCCTCCTCCTCCTCCTCCTCCTCCTGCTGCTGCTGCTGCTGCTCTTCTTCTCCTCCTCCTGCTCTTCTTCCTCCTCCTCTCGAGTTCATTCATTTCTTTTGCAGTTGGACGGCCTTGTCCCTTCTCGTGAATTTTGCACTTTGAAAGTGGCCAGGATCATAACAATAGGGATGATTCAACTACAAAGTCATGCAACATCAACGGGCCATCTTTCAACGAGTATCAAAGTGCGCACTGCACAGGCAATGATGACCATCTTGGACGCCGATTGCCAAGCCAAATGTGAGCTAGGTCCTTAGGGACATCCGCTAAAATTGGAACAATACAGAGAAGATTAGCATGGCCTCTGCGCAAGGATGACACACATAAATCGAGAAAAAATAAATAAAAATAAAAATTGAGTTGGGATGCTTTTTTTCTTTTTTTCTTTTGTTTTTTTATAACAAAAACAACGGCTCCATCTATTGGTGGGTAGTGGTGGACAACTGGAAATTACTGTCAAACAAGACGGTAGGATCCACATGGTTGCATCATTTTTCAGCCTTTCACTGTCTGGCGTCCTTGTGCAATTCAATACAGAAGCTTAACCTTGAATGGACAGTGGTGCAATTCAATACAGAAGCTTAACCTTGAATGGACAGTGGTATAGGGCGGAAATGAAAAGCTCAGCGCGAGCCTCATTCCTTGACTACTTGGTGGCTTGGTCTTTGTTGCTGTTCATGTGGCTTTTCAGGATGACACCTTTGGTGCGTCCATAGTCTGCAAGATTGCAGACAATCCGGATGTTGTCCTGTTCAAACTTTCATGCACAGGGTCGGTGCCAGAGGTTCAGGTTGATCCAATGGAAATCAGTTTCGCGCGACAGTTAATTGACCGCCGCAGTACAAAGTCCTTCACAATAAGGTGCAGTCTTAATTCTCTTTTTGTTCTTTGGAGAAGACGCCCTTCGTTCCCATCATCCCTTCTTTATGTTGATGCTCCCAGACCCTCCTCCTTCCCCTCTTCTAGACTCCCAGAGCCTCGTTTTTTTTACTGGTTGCGACCCCCATTTACCACGATCGGGGAGTTTCGTTTGCCTGTTTTTGTTTTCGTTTTCTTTAAGAAAAGCATCTTCAGAGGGCTGACTTTTGGGGGCGATCCAGCAGCATCCATTTTTATAGCTCCAGTCTATTGGTACGGAGCTGCACCTGCTGGAAACCGCTTCCAGCACCCCGTTTATCTCTTTGTTCTACTTTTCCGGCCTCTGATCTATTCCTGGGGAGCTTCACGTGCTGGGAAACAGGCCCAGAGTCCCTTACGCATGATAGATGAGACTATTAGATGCTAGAAGGAATGTATGGACTGGACAGCATTGATAACCCTTGCATTTATACGGTGGGGATTGAATGTCCTTCTACGAGATCTGAGCTGATCACCTGCGGACAACGATGCTGCAGCCGTGGAATAGATTGGCCTGGTATTCTATACATAGAGTGAATGCACCAGCAAAAGCATGGGGTCAGAACGGAACAAAAAGCCTCTTCAGCCTTTGCCGAGCCGCCAATACAACCTGCTTTCCGAGCCCCATGTCCTGTTTTAGTACACAGTCCCATCTCCTCCTATCCATCCCAAACAATACAGTTGTGAGACGGTGGAAATGGATCTGCAAACTTTGCAGCAAGAATCTCCGCTAGAACTTGAGAGTTCCTTGTAAAATTTAAACAAAAAGAAAGCGAAAAACTTGAGAGTTCCTGTAGAAGGATGTGGAGTCCGCAATGTGGTCCAACACAGACGGTCAACGCAATAGAGGGACAGCGATACTGATCCCAAAAACGTCGAAAATCCTGACCGAAGAACAGATCCTTAACAGCGAGGGAGATAGAGAGGAAGGGAGATGGCCGTGGATGGACATCACGTGGCAAGGTGAGGATCTGCGAATTCTCAACCTGTACGCACCCAACACGGAATCTGACAGACTGATTTTCTTTGAGAATATCAAACCCCTCATCCCCAACCCACAACCAGTAATCATTGCAGGGGACTGGAACACAACCCTGGACCCGAACCTGGATCAGATCTCAAGAATGGTACTAATGGGACCCACTAGAGCGGGCACCTGGATTCGAAACCCAATGACTGAATTCGAACTCTGCGACCCCCTCAGGGCACTGCACCCGGACAAGAGAATTTTCTCCCGGATAAGGAGAAACCAAGCCAACCGGACTTCGCTGTCCAAGATTGACTACTCCCTCATATCCGAGAGCTTAGCTTACTCGGAACAGTCAAAGAGGCCGAAATCCTCCCATCAGCAGCCTTCAAAGGACTAGATCACAAACCCATCCAGATGCTGCTCAATTTCAATGTACCAGTTCAAACAGGCCAAGGCTTCTTCAAGCTTAACAACTCATTATTAAAAACCGAAAGAATGAAGGCGACAGTCCACGAAAACTGGGCTATCAATAAGCAGCAAGAATCAAGGAGAACGAATAGCCACCAATCGTTCATTGACAACTACTCAGAATTAACACGATCAGTATCAGCGGAATCAAGAGATATTGCTAGAGACCGAAAAAGAAGAAGGGAAGAACTCCAATTCACGATGGTCGTCGCTGAAGAAAATCTGGCGGAGGACCCAACTAGTAGTTTCTACCAAGAACTACTAGACGACACCAAAGAGGAACTAAACGAATGGAGAAGATGGGAACTCAGAGTAGTTTCTGCCAAGAACTACTAGACGACACCAACTAGTAGTTTCTACCAAGAACTACTAGACGACACCAAAGAGGAACTAAACGAATGGAGAAGATGGGAACTCAGAGGTTTACAAATACGGGCGAGGATGACAGACTATGCACTTAACGAGTCTATGACAAAATTCTTTTTCTCCAAGATCAAGGCGAACGCCAGGAACAGCATGATAGAGGCACTCAAAGACCCATCGGACTCAGGAAGCACAAAAACAACAGGCCCGGAGATGGTAGGGATAGCCAGATCCTTCTACGCAAATTTGTACGAAGCCAAGACCCCCTCATCCCCGACAACAGCGAACCTAGCAGCCCGCCAACTGATGCTATCGTACCTCGACAGAACCATCTCGATTAGTCAAGCGGAAGGCCTGGATAGACCACTGACCCTGGCCGAAGTGCACACAGCCTTGAACCAGATGGGAAATGACAAAGCCCCGGGCATCGATGGCCTCTCAAAGGAATTCTGGAGCTCCTTCTGGCCGACCCTGGGAGAGGACCTACTCGACTTTTTCAACGAAAGCATGCGCAAAGGAGGCCTAGGTAAGGAACTGAGCACCAGCGTAGTCTCATTGCTATACAAGAAGGGAGATAAAGAAGACCTGAAAAACTACAGACCTATCTCCCTACTAACCACGCCATACAAAATCCTAGCCAAGGCGCTTGCAAACAGAATCACAAAACTAACTAACAGCTGCTTCCACATCCATCAAGCAGGCTTCATCCCATATCGTTACATATTGGACAACGTGATGACTCTGAATGAAGCAGCAAAAAAGATCACGGAGAAACGAATGAAGGCAGCAATCCTGTTTTTCGACTTTGAGAAAGCCTACGACCAAGTTAACTGGGATTTTCTCCACGCATGCATGGAAAAAATGGGGGTAGGCCCATACTTTAGAAGTTCGGTGAGAATCCTGTACGCAGATGCAACAGGAAGAGTCCAGGTCAATAGAATCCTATCAGAAACCTACCCAATCTCACGGTCAGTCAGACAAGGCGACCCACTGGATCCCCCCATTTTTCTCTTCATAATGGAAGCCATAGCCTCATTTCTCCGCAAAGACCCGTCAATTGACCAACTCACAGAACGAAACTTCAACCCGTTACACGACTTCGCCCTACCCACTGCACTCATGTTCGCTGACGACCTTACGGTACTCATTAGAGCAAACAATAACTCCTTCCAATCACTGGTAAGGGCAATGAAAGCATTTAGACTGGCATCAGAAATAAGGGTCAATTGGAATAAAACCGAAGGATGGTGGTTAGCAGACGGCACCCCTCCCCAACCTCCGGACACAACCACACCCATAACTTGGACCACGGGAGAGCAAGCACTACGATTCCTGGGAATCATGATCAACAAGGAAGGAGTTTGGCCGGGAATGGGCCAGAATCTGATAGCAAGAGCGATCACCCGCCTGGCCCTGTGCAAAAACGCCCAGGCCTCACTAATCGGACGGGCACTACTTATCAACACAGCGATCTTCTCTACACTGTGGTACATGGCATCAATCTGGTCCCCCCCCGACGACGACCTCAAGGAGCTCAAGAACAGGGTGAGGTGCTATTTGTGGACAGGTGACCCTAACAGGACCACCTGCATCAACAGGGTCGCATGGAGCCACATCACTAGGAAGCCACAGGAAGGGGGCCTCGGGATAATCGACCCAAAACAGGAATCGATAGCACTACAGATGAAATGGATAATCAAGATTCTCACCAGACAGTTCCTCCCGTGGACCCAAATGGCGCTGGACAGCATCAGAAACTTAGCTCCCATCAACTCCCCTAGAAACATGAACGGCCTGTTCTAGATTATGGCAAAGGACTGGACAATTAAGTCCGACAGAACACGCAGAAGAAACCCCACACAACACATTCCTGCACAGCCCAACACAAGCCCAACGCAGACAGTCAGCAATTATTGGAGCCCCACCATCAAAGCATGGCGCAAAATGATGCCGAGCAAACACGGGGCACCTGGTAACAGAGAAGACTAGGGTGACAGCCAGGAACACAACTTGGACCCTGGATCACTACCTGGAGCCCGTTCCAGCACCTCGGTAAGTCTGTACTAAGGTGACAGCTTTCCCAGGTCCCCAGCCACGCAACTTGAACCCTGGACCCCCGCGTCGGCTGAAGAACACAACTGATTGACCTCTCAAGATAGTACAGTGTTTTTGTTCTCGCCTACCTGTGATTGTCCTCTCAAGATATTATAGGGAAGGTATGCTGAAAATTGACAAGCAATTCTATGACGAACTGCAGCATTCCAAAAAGAAGGCAAACACTAGTTGTAGACTCTAACTTAGCAGAACCTTTCAGGCCCCCAACAAGAGAGACCACTCTCTGCCAATATACAGCTTTCCGTACAATTAGTGGCCTCACCGATGAAATTAGCCAATAATTGTAACATTCATGATGGTACTCTCTTGCCAACATACAGCTTTCTGTACAATTAGTGGCCTTACCAATGAAGTTAGCAAATAATTGTAGCATTCATGATGCTGAGGCGGTCAGTACAGAAAGCGAGAGAGAGATGGCAGAGTCAGAGGACATATTATGTTGAAGCCTTGAAGGGTTTGATAATTACAGGACGCAGCAGGAGTGACACATAGCTGGAGTTCCACGACAAGACCAAGATTGGTGTGGTCCATCCCACTTCGCTCACCAGCAGAGTTCCCAGATCTGTTCCCACCGAACCACCTCGCACTGGTGGAACTGCAGTGGTTTGGCAAGGACTGAGGACAGCATTCTCAAGATCAACCGCACCCGAGCAATTGACAACGAGGCAGGGGGGGGGGGGGTGCATCACTCCCCATAGTTAGACCCGAGCCGGCTTTCAAAAAAAAAAAACAAAAAAAAAACAGGATAAATAGAAAAAGACAGGGAAAATGTCATAAGCCAGGTATGGAAACTTGTGTGCAGACAAGGACTGAGGCCACCTTCATTGGCAAGCCAGTCATAGAGGTTTTCATGCGAGTCCTGGAACTCTCAAGGTTTTTTTTTTTTTTTTTTTTTAATTAAAACAGGTCCTTATGGTCCTGGCTCCATATCCATTCTGGGGAGCGTCAGTCAGGTTCCTTTCCACTGGCAAGTCGAGAATGAAATACATGGTGAACACCCACACGCTTCCTTCCGTCTGGCCGAAGGAACCCTGACCAGCATTGATTGCTCCTTATCAGGAGGATTGACTGTCAGCTTGCCCTACCTCTTTTCCTCTCAGAATCTATAATGACTCTGCCAGATACTACGTATAAAGCAAGAAAAGGGGAGAGTTGTCTAGGCTGTTGAGATTATAATCTCAGKTAGTTCTTCAATGGGACCCTGTTCTTGTGTTGTGCCACTTCTTCCACACCATTCTGTTGTCCACCACTGTAGCGATCTTTCCCTGTAGAAGCCAGTCTCTTATGAATTTACGTCTCTTTGTGGCTGTCCTTTCTGGTCTGCCTTTCGTCGTCATGGATATTTCTCGCCATCTGGAACGAATCTCTGTTTCCGCCATTCTCAGCAGTAAAACCCACATTTCCTCTCTATGCAACTCTGTTCCTTCGATCGTCTTGGAGCATCTCCTCTTCCAGATTCCCAAAGCGCCAGCTTTCTGAGAAGGTGGAACCACACATCCTTGCCWCCTCTGAGATTGTTAGTGTCGTTAGATAGGAGCAGGATGTTCAGGGGGGTYGTGGCCGGGGGGGGTGATGAGAAAAGAGAGGTCCATAGGATGCGCACTTTGTTCCAGATCCATGTTGCCTCTGTGCAGTATAAGAGGCAGTGAAGTGTGTCCTCCACAGCGTTGTCCGTGCACAGTCTGCATATATCAGTGCTGTCGGGGTCTGTATATTTTCTTCTCTTGTGGAGCCACTGATTGGTTGGCAGAGAGGCGTGAGCTAAGAGCCATTGCATGCTTCGAATCCTAGCCGGTCTAATGGTTAGGAATTTAGTCCACGGGATGGTTATGGGGGTTGAGGGGTCCAGACTCAGTATGTCCCTCCATTTGCTTTTGAGTCTGCGGTCTGGGTCTGAGGTCTGCAGGCCTAGATCATAGCCGAATTTGACATCGTATTCTGCTATTGTTCTCATCTTCCCTGAGTTTCCCTGTTTCCATATCCATTCTTTCGGGTCGAATTCTAGCTCTGAGATGCAGAGATCCGGTCGGAAGATTTTCCAGGGTTTGGACTTTGACACCCTCACTTTTCTCAGTCGGAAAGTCTCCAGCATCTCGCTCTGGGGGTCGTTGTTTTGGACTTCCATTTCATTTGTGCTGTGTTTTACTACCGGGTAGGAGTAGAACTTGGATAGGTAGTGGGGTGGGTTTGTCCTAGCGACGAATCTGTATGCTCTGGTAGGCTGGGTTTGGGAGACTGGTATGCCCCAGTCCCCGAACTTCCACGAAAATTCCTCTCTTAGGAGGGGGATCCACTGTGTTGGGATGCTATTTTGGATCATTGTTAAGTTATCGGAGAGGGCGTGGCAGCCATTTAGTGTGGTGCGTAGTTCCTGATCCGTCGCCCATCGTCCTTGGTCTTCAACCCAGATGTGCTTGACCTGCCACACTCCTTTTTCTACCCACGATAACCATCTTCGGCCCCTACGAGGGAACAGAGGATCTCCAACTCTCTGTCTCATACTGGAAAAAAAAAAACAGGCTATCAATTAGGCTATCAACTAGTCTATCAACTTGCCTATCAACTAGGCTATCAACTAGGCTATCAACTCACCTATCAACAAGGCTATCAACTACGCTATCAAGTTGGCTGTGCTAAATGGGAGTCTTCAGGTTGCCCGTGGTGTGTCGTAGGTTAGACCTAGGCCAGGGCCAGGCCATNGTTGGCTGTGCTAAATGGGAGTCTTCAGGTTGCCCGTGGTGTGTCGTAGGTTAGACCTAGGCCAGGGCCAGGCCATTAGACACTGGCTGCGATACCTAGAAGTGTATGCTAAAGAATTTGTGCTGCCCCAAACAGGCTCGAAACGAAATGGCACTGGCCCAAACGGGAAAGGCTGGACGGTGCCCGCCACCACTATCAAAGGACCTCTACAACAGACCGTTGGTCGCGCGCATTCCAAGCTCTGCAATGACCACTCCACCGACCGGTCCATCTCACGAGGGCGACCACACTCTTCCCCTCGACCTCTTCTGCCCCTGTAAACCCCGCTTGCCCTCAACAACATTTCCCGAAATGGTGATCCCGTTACGTGGCAAAACCCAAGCGGGATAAGCGCAGCCTCCTGGCTGCAAACTGGGAGTAGCCGGGTCTAGTTTGGCGGACACTCCGAACCCCCTCATGAAGGCCTGCGGCGGTATGCTCATACCTAGCTCCCGAAGTACATGTACAACGGGCTTGTGCAACTCTGCTTCAACCAGGGCTGAGCAGGAACCGGGTGCCTGCAACCACTGTCTGGTCAGGTCACCCTGCCATGATGGTGATGGGTGATGGTCCCAGGTGTTTAAACACTAGGGTGAGACAGGGGAGGTACAGGTGTGCCAGGGAAAATTGATGCGAGGAAGGGTGCAGGGGTTAAAAAAAAAAAAAAAAAAAAAAAAAAAGAAACATAAGACTATGACCTTTTTTCCCCCTAAAGAAAGGCCACTTGCTCCCAAGTGGGAAATGCAGGTAGCTCCACAGAAAAATATGACGTGGTTTGTTGATAGTGCTGGCTGTTGTTAAATTGTGTGTTCGTCTGATTTGGACTGTATCAGAAACATTTCTCTGTTACCTGTAAGATGGCGTATAGTTGGACTCGACAGCCTGCCTCCCAGCCTTTTGTTGTCGGATGCTCAAGGCAAGCTAGAGTTTGGCTCTGAAGTCTCCGTATCGGTTCATTTTCATGCTCAACAACCAGCCGTTATAAATAGCACCTTGGCACTGGAGGTAACTCCCTTCCTCATCAACTATCCCCTCTGCAGCCCACTCTCTCTCTCTCTCTCTCTCTCTCTCTCTCTCTCTCTCTCTCTCTCTCTCTCTCTCTCTCTCTCTCTATGGAAAAGGACTCCCTCCACACCCAAGAAACTCAAAGAGAACTGGTCGCACATCCAAGGTAGCTTGTTTGCAGCCTGTTGGCTGTGGCTTTCCCGTTTCATTTTTTCATTTATGTCACAGACTGCAAACTGGTCATCGGTCGTGTACCGTTCGTTGGAGGAGGGAGTGGTGGTCGGGAGGGAGAAACAATGGGTGGAAGGGGTAGAAAAAAGTGGAGGTTGGTGGGTTCCGGGAAAACTGGCGTGGACATCGCTCCACGTTTTTGTCAGTGGAGCTGCATGAGTGGTAGCTAAGGCAGGTGGCTCTGATGCGGGGCGATTTCGGAGTTTTTTACTTTTTGTGTGTAGTTGATGAGCTCTCCTCTTCTGTCCTCCTACGAAAAGCAAACCCGGCCCCCCCATGATGTTTCCCACAGGCCCAGGAGAGTGCCTGCGTGATACTCGCAACGATAGGCACACAGAGATCAAAACAGTGCAAGTGAGACTTCAAAAAGCAAACTGACGAAGGCACATTAGAACAGTCACAGTACCATGGCATCCAAGAACCCGGGGCAGAAAAACGTGCCAAACCATTCTACCCGAAACCTGCGGGGACACCTCAGGACCAAGTACCAGGGAACCCAAAAAGGAGTCAACCGAGACCAAGCTGAAGTACCGAACAGAATAGGTACCGGAGCAAGTGGACAAGAAATGTCTAAAACATTCATATTCAGATACCTGAAAGGCTGAAACGGTATTCAGCTGTTAGCAGTAACGAATGCAGATCCCAGGGCTCGATCCCTAGCCCTTACCTTACCTGTGTACAGTACCTGTGTTGACCCCTAGAGTTGAACCCGTGACCTGTGTATTCGCAGTAGTTGGTAGGCTGTCGTAAGTCCGTAGGTTGTAGGGGTTCGATCTGTAAACCTGTCGGGTAGATGTCTTAGCGAGTTCTAGAAGTCGTAGCTGTAGCTGTTCTGAGAGGTCAAGGTCGTAGCTGCTGCAGTCCTGAAAGGTCAAGGTCGTAGCTGCTACAGTATTCCAAAGGCCAAGCCCACAGATTTCCGGAAGGTCCGGAAGTGGCCTTTCGAAGGTTTCTCACGTTTAGACAGAGGCAAGTGGGCAAGTGGTGAGCCCAACTGCGGTACGTCGGCAGTGCGACTGCATCGAGTTGGCAGTGCAAACCCATGCAGTCAGCAGTACCGGTCCCAGTCAGTCACAGTCCAGTCAAGCAAGTACCGTGTGGGACTGTATGCACCAGGGGCATGGGAAAGGGGCCGACCAACGAGTTACAGAAGTATAAATCAAGAGGCAGCGCCCAGCCCTTCATTCATTCCTGCGTAAGCCATGCGGAAGCGCTGCTTGAGCGACTTGTCCAAGGTGGTCTGCAGAGTGCCCGAAGACGAAGTGGGCTGAAGGGATAGTTAGTCATAGCTAGTGAGGGACAGCGGCCATAGCCGCCATAGTTGATAGACGAGTGTGTTAGTAGTGTGTGTGTGTGTGTGTGTGGGATATCCAGGGTGATCCGGAGTTGAGTGAGTGCGAACAGTGGTGTTGAACAGAGAGGCGAGAGTTGGGATTTACAGGTGCGGATGCGCCATAGCCTGTTAAAGCGAGCTTGTATCTGAACTGTGTTTTCAACTTCCATATCTCTGAGCTTTGAGTGGGCGCTGTGCGCCAGTGTGACTCGCCATCTGTTTGCATGAGTGCGGAGTGGAAAGAAAGTGAGTCTGATTGCATTGGTATTGGAGCAGGTACCCGCTATCTCACGCGCTGTCATTGCCCGCGGTATGCTGGAACTGGGCGCCATAGCTGAAGTGCGCCATCACCGAAGAGGAAGGTGTTGCGTACCTGCAAAGAAGACAACGACGAAGAGAGAGAGAGAGAGAGAGAGAGAGAGAGAGAGAGAGAGAGAGAGAGAGAGAGAGAGAGAGAGAGAGNGAGAGAGAGAGAGAGAGAGAGAGAGAGAGAGAGAGAGAGAGAGAGAGAGAGAGAGAGAGAGAGGAGCGATACAAGATTGGTTGTGCGGTCCAAGAGAGAAGAGGGCGGCCATAGCCGCGGAGCTCGGACACGGAGAAAGGAGGCAAGAAGATGAACGAGAGAGAAGGAGGGAGCGACTGAGAAGTGGGAAGAAGCCGTAGCTGAGGAAGAGGAAGGAGGGACGAAGAAGAAGAGGGAAAGACATAGCTGGGGTGAAAGAAGAGTAAGGCGAGGAAGGAGAAAGAAAGGAGGAAGACGAAGAAGGGCGGTGAGGAAGAAGAAGGCGGCAGCCATAGCCAAGTTGAAGGTTGACCGAGGTGTTGACCGAGGGGTTGACCGAAGCTGGTTGGGCGTTGACCAAGGCGTTGACTGGAGGTTTGACCAGAGTTGACCAAGGCGTTGACCGTAGGTTTGACAAGTGTTGACCAAGGCATTGACCAAGGCGTTGACCAGGGCTGTTGACCACGATTTTGACCAAGCTAGAGCTGGTATATTCTCGCCAAGCCCTTAGCCTATCCCCTCGCCCTATGGATGTGCACTCACCCTATGGTACTTGCTGAGTCTGTCTGTCTCTTCTTTCTGCATTGAGTCTCTTCTGTCCAGGTGATAGGAACTCCGTGTATGAGGGATAGAGCCTTGTTGACCAAACCCCTACGGGCTTAGTAGGGCTAAAGGCCGTGTTTGACGACTCGACTGTCCCGGAGGACACGAACCCTCCCAAGGACCGGTACTGACCGGCGGGCTGCTCGGTGTGGCACGATAGGCCCAAAATCCGAGTTGTGGGCTGCACAACAGGTTGTCTAAGTCTTGAGAGGACTTGCTGATCGCGTCGTCCTGTCTGCGACGTTAAATAATTCCTGAGGGGTTAAGGGGGATCTCCTTAAATGCCTCCTGATCAGCAACAAGTCATGTAGTGACGGCCATAGTTTAGGTCCAAGCTAGAGACCCTAGTTGACAGGATCCTGCTTGGATTCTGTGGTCCTTAGATTGAGTCTAGGTTTAGTCAGTTAGGTGTTGAGGTCTAAGTGGTGAGGTTTGGAACTGTTGTCCGGTTGTGCACTTATCACCATGGTTGACACTCGCACTGGGAAGAGCACCGTGCCCTATAGTAAGGCCCAAGAGGAGCAAACCGCCGCCATCCTCAGAGAGAGAAAAGAGAAGAAGGAGCTCCTTAGACAGGCAAAGATGAAGATAATAGCGGAGGAGCAGGCGGCGAAGAAGAAAAAGTTGGAGGAAGAGATGAAAAGGTTGCAGCAAGAAGAGGAGGAGAGAATAAGGGCTGAGGTAGAGGAAGAGGTTGAAGAAGAGGAGGAGCAGCCGAAAGAAGAGCCCCTCAGACAAAGAAGATTGGGGGAAGGAGCAGAGAGCAATGGCACGAAAGAAGACTACCCATGGGTGGAAAGGAGGATAAGTGAGTGGGTGGTTAATTTATCTCTGGGAGAAGATGAGGAGGCAATGTTGTATATACCTCAGGAGGAGAAGGAAGCAGGAATTAAGGAGATACGAGGCAACGAGTGATCCCCTAGAACGCCAGGCCATAGAGACTGAGAAGAGGTTGGATTGGAAGTTGTGTCTGGCAAGGAAGAAGAAGAGGAGGACGGAGGAAGCCAACGGGATGGCTAGAAAAGTGGAAAGCTTACAGACGCATAGACAAGCAGTAGAGGCCCAGCCTAACATCCAGGCTAAGTTAGACAAGATCCTTGGGAGCATCAAGCTCCTAGGCAGAGCCTGGACCGAGCACCATCAGTCTGTTAAGGGCCAAGACATGGCCCTCCACTCCATCCGGTCTGGTTTCAAGGACTTCGCGCGGGATGTAATGACACATGTTGGGACAAAAGTTAGGAAGCTAAAGGACCGCGCAGAGAAATTCTGCGCAGGCGCCAAAGTAGTGGCCGCTGTAGAGGCCGAAGCGCATCCCCGCAAAGAGTCTGTCAAGCTCAAGTTTCCTGACTCGTATGGCGGGAAAAAGGACGAGAACTTTGATAACTGGGAGACCAATATCAACACGTACGTGTACTTGCAACACATTGCGCCCGAGGAACAAGTCCTCGTGGCCTTCCACGCACTACGAGACGAAGCGACCAGTTTTGTTAGGTCCCTCGCGCGAGCAGCCGATTGTGAACACAATATGGTTGCATACGCCAAGCTCACCCCTCTTCTCAAATTTCTCAATCTCCTGAGAGAGAGGTTCGTTGACGTCACGCGAGGCGTCCGGGCCTCTGACAAACTGCAGACAATCCACTCAAGACAGTGGAAGAGTGCGAGGGCACTCAAAGTAGTTATGGATGATCTGGTAGCCATCCCAGACCACGGGGTCATTGAGACCCAGTTAGTTAGCTTATTTTATCGTGCCATGCTAGAGCCCTTACGAGGGCATTTCTTTGAAAAGACCCAATAGGCCACCACCACATATGATGCGTTGAGTAGAGAGGTGGTCCTGTTCAAAGCCAAATCCATGCTAGTTTCCACTTTTTAGCACAAGGATTTAGATAAGGGAAAGAATTGGAAAGGTCGGACCATCTCATGACATGTCAGGGCTAAGGATCACCTGATCCTTACTTTAGACGAGGGTGGTACTGACGAAGTCCCCTATAGCCAGATAGAGTGAGGGCTGGAGGAGGAAGACAATAGTGTGGGCCAGGGGAGGACTTACGTTGTTGTCGCGGCTGGAGGGAGGCCACAAGGTAGAGGAGGAGGCCAGGGGCAAGGGGGTCGGGCCATTCAGGCTGTGTAGAGTAAAACCTGCTTAGGCTGGGTACCGGGCGCAGAGGGGGTTGGCGGCCAAAGGAACCGCCAAGAGGGAGGTAGGGGTCAAGGTCCCCCGCCGAATCGTTCAAGGCCCAATCGATCACCACAGTGCAGAGGTGGAGGATCACCTCAAAGGAGAGGAGGTTGGCACCCAGGTTGGCCACAAGGCCGGCCTTGGGAGGATTT